GTCTGTTGTGGCCTGTGCATCTCTGAGTGGTTCATGTTATCACCTCCATGAGTGACTGACACTGCTGGTAGGCAGATGATCAAAGTGGGGAAGATTGGAACACCCAGCCCTTTTTCCAGACTGCATTTGCAGTAATGCCCAGCTTGGCTATGAGACCTTACAATAGCCATTCTGCAGAGACTACCTGCTGGATATGTCTCGAGTGCAGGTTGCTTTGGTGGGGTGGGATTGCCAGTTGGTGAAAGGGTGAAAATTTCTGGGTTTTGAGCATGATTCCCCATGTATGTGTTTGCATATGTATATATGTTGGTTGCTAGGGAAAACTGTGGGCAGCAGTGCCCCTTTCTGGGTGCTGGTAACTTCATGGTACAGCCAGACACTAGTTTGTCAACGTCTTCATGAACCTTTCTAAGAGTGGAATATTGTACTTGTGCTGCGGACTCAAGCGGAGGCCCTTACCCTGTTCAGGGTAAGAGGAGGTCCCAGAGTTCAGACCTGGGGGAGTGTGATAGGAATAGAAGTCTAAAATGTAATCTCTCTGCCCAGAATATGGTGGGGAAAGGGTTAAGTCTTAATTTTCACTTGATCATCTGTCATTGTTTTCCGTAGTGCAGAAGTTCCCCATCTTGTGTGTAACTGAATCTTGTTAATTATAAATATCTGTATATGATTCTATTGGGGGAAAAAATGTTTTTTAATTGTAAAGTATTTTGTATAATAAAGGGGGGAGAATTAAAATTGCCTAAATGACATCTTTTTCTGTTCCTCTGTTGGAGCTACATGTAGTGGGTAGCATAGCTCTCTGGGGTACAAACCCACTGTTTTTCAAAAGATAGATCAAAGTCTCTCAGTTTCTATATCCTTTTGACCCCAGGTTTTGTTTTATTGTTGGCTCATATGCAAGTGAAGCTTGAAGGACTTCATTTTGCTGTAGCCTCAGGCTTCAGATCCGTGAGTCAGCACAAGAGCTTCCCTGTACCATAAACTCTCTTCTTCCTTGCTTAGGCTTAGGGGGTCAGTGAAGCCTAAGCTTTTTGTTTGTTTTAATTTTCTAGCCATCTGCAGTGAGGGAGGTTGTGGTACATTTTACCACCTCTTTGAGAACCCTGACTGCTGCCCTGGTGAAGAGCCTGGACTTGAGCAGGGAGCACTTACCCTTCTTCTTCCACCAGGTGCTTGTTTCTTCATGCCTCTACTTCACAGCCTTGTTTTTCTCACTGCTGTAACAATCATGACCAGAAAGTGTGTGCAGAGACTAGTTCTTGCTGTATGTTTTCGGAGCTCCTGCTTCCCCTGTGCCTCCCATCCAGCCCTGGACTGAAACCCTATGTGCACTGTTCTGGAATGCTGCAATGCATACAAAACAACTTGGTGCTTATGCTGTCTGAAAGGAAGGGCAACACTACTGCTGCATTCTGCTGACACACACTGCAGGTCAGAGATGTGCTTTTTTGTTTTTACTGATCTCTGTCCTTCTATCGTGGGGTTCTCTGCTCAGCAAACAAAACATTAATGCCTGTGCTGTTCCTCACCTGCTGTCCCTTCCCCAGTTCTCTGCTGTCCCTCTCACCACTGATTTTCTTTGCTGCTTTGCTGCACCACATTCCTCTGTTCACCTTCCCATTATGACTGCTTGGTTTTCCCTTTTTCTCATCCTCAGGTGCTGTTAAGGTTTCTCCTCTCCTTGGCTTCCTTGTCTCAATTTCCATTGCAGTTTGGCTTGATCTCTTGACTTTGTTCTTGGTGTTCTTCCCTATCACACATCCCCTCCTGTCCCTGCACCTAGAGTGGGCTGTCACCATTTGTTCCGTTTCCCTGTGAGTTGTTCTTACTTTCTTCCCTCCCTTCTACCTTTAAGATAGATCTCACAGCATCTGTCCTACCTTTGCTGAGGCCAGATCTTCTTCTACACACTAGTCTCTGTTTAGTGTCCCCGGGCTGAGTGAAGATTGCCTTTGTGCAAACCATGTCTAACCTTGTCCTGTTAAGAATTGTCTTTGGAAATGAACTGTTGGTTCAGGGAGCAGCAGCTGGCTGATCATATCTGTATTTTGGTTCCAGTTCATACCTTTTGCCTGCCTGCTACAACCTTGTCTCTGGCTATCTCAAAACCAGGCTTGCACAGGGGCTCTGTAAGTATCTTGATCCTAGTTTGCATTTCCAGCCACGTCCACATCTTCTGTTGCTATGCCCTGTTGTACAGCAGGAGCAGGTAGCAGGTACTGAATGTTTTGGATTCACAAAGGTAAGGCAGTGAGGAGTGTTTGGAGGTCCCTAATCTAGCCCCTGCTAGTCTGTATTTTCTGATGATTTTTGGTGCCTGACTTGGGACAGATACGTGAAATTGTAAAACTGTAACTGTCCATGACTTTAGGACGAGCTGTAGGTACAGAGATCGACTGTGAATCTGAGGGGTAAGTTTTTCTTAGTAAACTTTCCGGTTTCTCTTTTGCATTTCTTAAGCAGAAGTGACACCTAGTGTTAAGTCGAGGGCACGTCAGTGACTGTTATGCTTGAACCAAGCCACTGAAAGGTTTAGGAGCACAACCTACTGATTCAAGAGGAATTAAATGCTGGATATATTTTCTGACCATGTGGGTTTGGGGAGCTGGAAAGGCTTTCCCAGCCACACGTGGTGCTGTGAAACTAAGACCTCTCTGAGGGTCTGTGGTGCACCTGGTGCTCTATCAGTCAAGAGGCATGATCTATCAATGCATCAAGCCCAGCCATGAGCTGAGAGCCAAGTCAGTGAGGAATCAGCCCCAGGAGAGTTTTCCAAAGGATCTGTTTTCTAATCAGCAATGCAACCTGGCCTTATTACAAAATAAAGTAAGTGGTTAATCTGTAATCATCACCCTGTTTCTGGGTAGACAAGATCTGACCTTAAGCCCAAATTTTATATTCTGCGGTTACCCACATGCACCTGAACTTGTTCTGTGGACTTCCACAATAGTTTCTTCCACAAATTGGTTCGGGCAGAAGATACTTGCCACTTGATTTGGCAGTCCAGAAGGCATTAGTATTGGAGAGTTGCATTAACATGGGAAACAAAACCATAATGCGCATTGGAGTTGTGCAGCTTTGCTATATATGGAGCAAAACACTGCTCTCGGGCCTTCTGGATGAAGTCTAGTGGTGACAATACAGAGCTCTGCACAGTCTGATTTATCTTACTGAAGTTGAGAACACTGCATACCACATATCCACTGATCCCACTGCTACAGACCACCTTAGGACATGCTAGCGTTTGCTTTCCCCCTCCCAGCACACCATTGCCTTTGGGCACAGCTGGCTATACCTGGAGAGTGGTCAGTGTTTTGAAGTTATTCCGGCCTATATGCCAAGTATGGGAGAATGCTTCATGTTCTTTGAATTGAATTTCGCAATCCCATTAAAAGTAGATCTTTGGTGAATAAAGCAAGGAAACCTGAAAAGGGCTGTAAAACAGTAAGAAGTGTCCTAAAACACATGGAGCCTGTGCTATCACCGTTGCATCTGCCCACATAAGCCTAGCTGAGGAACACAAGTGGCTGCCATGTCAGCACAGCCTGCAGTGCTTATTTCAAAATGGGAACAAAGCCTAGCAGGTGATAGCACAGTGTGTTCTGGGTTTCATTTTTAGCTATAAATACAAGAAAGTCATGGTAAGCAGGAACCCAGCACAGAGCTAGATAAACATTGCAATGCAGAGCTGCATGACAACTGGCATCATACGCATCTTGGAGAGTGCAGCTATCCATAACACAGTACTGCAACTCTGTGCTCTCCTGGTAAATGTGTGTATGGCAAAACAGCTCTTGAAATACCCAGTGAACCCACAGCTGCAATAGGGCCTTGTGTAATTAATATTCCAAATGCAAATAGTGTGAAGCTGTCCTAGTTGAAGTGTGACCCCAACACACTTGAGAGGTGGCCAGTGCCAGCCTCATGAAGTTCAACTATGCAAAGTGCAAGGTGCTGTCCTTGGGTTGGAGAAATCCCAAGCACAGAAGTGATTCAGAGCAGCCTTGGGAGAAGGACTTTTGGGGTGTTGGTTGATGAGAAACTGGAGATGAGCTGCTTCAGTGTGTGCTTGAGCCCAGAAACCAACTGTGTCCTGGGCTGTATCAAAAGAAGCGTGACCAGCAGGTTGAGGGAGGTGATCCTGCCCCTCTACTCTGCTCTTGTGAGACCCCACTTGCAGCACTGTGTGCAGTTCTGGTGTCACCAGCATAAGAAGGACATGGAGCTGTTGGAGCAAGTCCAGAGGAGAGGCCACGAGGATGATCAGGGGCTGGAGCACCTCCTGTATGAAGACAGGCTGAGAAAGTTGGGGCTGTTCAGCCTGAAGAAGAGAAGCTGCGTGGAGACCTCAGAGCAGCTTCCAGTGTCTGAAGGGGGCCTACAAGGGTGCTGGAGAGGGACTCTTCATCAGGGGCTGTAGTGATAGGACAAGGGGTGATGGGTTCAAACTGAAACAGGGTAAGTTCAGTTTAGATACGAAGAAGTTCTTTACTGTGAGTGTGGTGAGACACTGAATAGCTCGCTCAGAGAAGCTGTGGCTGCCCCATCCCTGGCAGTGTTCAAGGCCAGGCTGGACAGAGTGCTGGGCTCTGATAAAAGAAGAGCATTGTAAAACAAACTACCGTGTAAGTAATGCTGGTTATATGCTCATATTTTGTTTATTCATCTATCAGCAGAAGCAACATGTAAGGCTTTTATATTATCTAGTACAGGACATCAGAATTGCAGCTGCAGGTGGAATAGGTTGCACACTCCTGGATGTCTCTTATCTTTGAGTCTCTTTCATTTGACAAAATACAACAGCGCTTGCATTCATGGGGCTTATGGGGAGGGAGAACAGTGCAAGGCAGGGCTGAGAAACACAGATGGGCGGTGCAGCGTGAAAAGAGAGCTTTCCCATTCAGTGTCTCCATGACACAGTATGGGAAAGCTCTACAATAAAGCAGTACAAGCATAGATAGAGATGTAGGTCTCAGATTTCTTGCTGGGGCTCTGCTGCTTCCCTCAGCACTGCAGGATTTGCAGTCTAATAGCTCCTGCCAGGGAGAAGGGGACGGAGGAATGAAAGCTTGTCATTGAAATTGATGGCCTTATAATTTGGAAAGTGTTCATGTTCTCGTGCAATATAACGAAAGCCCCCTCCATCACTGTGTTCACACAGCAGCCAGACACCTCTCTGCACTTTGTGAGATGATATGGTGTTATCATCATATCCCCTGCTTAGATTGGTTGGTTCTGTTACCACCCTGCACTTCCCTTGGTAATTGATATGTTCATAGAGAGTGATCTGGGGATTGAGCAGGTTTTCAGTGATCATCTGCAGAGAAGTGATCTTATCATTCATCTGATTCCCAACAAAGCTATGTTCTCCCTCCTCAAATACCAGTAACTGGCCTGTATAATTTAAATGCTCGTAAGCCACCCAAGGCTGGCCAATTACTTTCACTGAGGAGATACAGTCATTCCAATCTACATCTTTTAGATTGGCAACGTCACTGGTGAATTCTTTGGAATAACCCTGGAAGTTGGCATGCTCATAAACAGTGATCTTTCCCATCTTCCTACTCGTCCAGTAGGACTTCTGTAGCGCAGATTTCTTGCTGCAGGAGCTGGATGACAACCTGCAGAAAAGGGAAATTGGAAACAAACAATGCTTGTAAGAAACCTTTTTGCATCAGACATGAAATGCTGGAGAAGGGGGGGTGGGAGTGGAAAAGTAAAACATTTTTAGAGGATAAATAAACATTTTCCAGCAGCAGCTGGAAAAGTGTGAGGGCATGACAGAGATTTGAATTTGGAAGAAAAAGTAAAATGCAATATATGTGCTAAAACTGCCCAGTTTTATTTAGTTGTGTATGTTGGTTTATGTGTACGTGCAATGGACATCTAAGGATTTAGTTTAACATCTTACTGGTATATCCCAAATAATGATGAAATAAAATACAGTACTTTTGATAAATCTTTTAGTTGATAATTGGCACTGCATTTGAGAACTATTCTAGCAATTGGTGTTCATTATTTGGACTAGATTTCATAATCCACATAATACCACAAGTAAAGAAGTAATGAGATATTCCATTGGTTTCTAAATGAAAGTGCATTATGTACTGTAAACAGAAAAAAAAAATCTCACTTTTCTAAGGCCAGAACTGAACTTTTAGACTCACTGAAATAATTTTGTTCTTTTCCTATGAAACTATTGAAACCCAGAAATTCATTTTCATGGCATAAGCTGAAAAGCAACCAAGTTCAAAGCATCAGCTCTTTGAGTCAGACTTCATTTCAGATTGTACATGCCTCTCTGTGGCACTGTTACAAATACTCATATTTAATTCCACACAGATTTGTCTGGAATCAGATAAGGAACCACAGTGTTTATTAGTAACAGCTGCAAGAATAGAAATGAGCAGCCAGTTCAGGTAACAGCTTAACATAACCACTGAAGCAAAGACTTAGGTTTCAGGGCAAATATATCTGAGGGAAAGAAGCAGCTGTAGTTGATTCTCGGAAGGGATGGAAGATTGGATCTTCCCACGTAAGATTAGAAGTCAGATTAAAATTGCAAGACCTGAGCAACATAATCAACATTAAAAAATAAAAAAAATAATGTGTCTTAAAAAATAAAATAAAAATCTTACTATGTGATTGAAAACATTTAAACATTTTTTTCACAGTTATAAGTTATGGAGGCTATTGTTACCCAGATTTTAAATTTGTTGCGTTCCGAGGTAAGGGAATTTGGCAG